AAGGGGGAGACGGGGGAGTTTCTCCAGCAGGGATTCACACAGCAGCATCAGGAGTCTGTTCCCAGAGGCTGCTATATTTATTCCCATTGTTTATGACTGGGCTGGATGGAGTTCTTCTTCGTGTTAAGTGAGTGTGTGTGTGAGTGTGAGTGTGTGTGTGTGTGTGTCCACTGTCTCTGTGCAGTTGGCTGATGTCCAGTAATAAAAATAACATCTTGACCAGAGGATGACCACACTCACTTTCCTGATTTGTCTTTTGTCTTGAGCTCAGATTCTCACCTGGGTCACAGTGGAGTCAACATAAGGTGGACGCGCAGTCCAGGGGCCGAGGGGGGAGGAGGGGGAGGAAGAGGGGGGAGGTTATACAATCCTTTGCTCTTCAGTCTACTTTATAATAAATCCAGTGTCTACAATTCTTTAGTTCATACCATGGGTCATTCTACAGCCTACAGACGCCTCTGGTAAGACGGACGAGGGAGACAGGGGGAGACGGACGGACGGGGGACCTGGGGTGGAGACCATGCTGTGGCCCTGCCACATACAGACAGGCTGATGGACATGATGGACATGATGGACACATCACTCACTCCTTTATAGTCAGGACATCAGTCACTGAGAAGACAGGAGGGGAGGGGGGAGAAGAAGGGGAGGGGGGTGAAGGTTCCTTATGACTAGTGTAAACCTCTGATTGGTATCTTTAAAAAAATGTAGGACTGAAATGAAGTCAGTGCTTTGATACCCGCCCCCCCCCCCGCCCCGGATAAAACAGTAGATGTTCCCATGATGCCAGTCTGAGTCTGAGTCTGAGTTTCAGTGACGGCAGTAGATAAAAATGTGTGTGGTGTAATTATGTGTGCTAAATAAAAGGAGCAGGAACAGAGGGGGGAGCGGGGGGTGGGAGTGGGGTGGGGCACCTACACCCCGACTCCTGCTGCCACCGTGAGTGCTGAGTGAGGAACGGCCTCTCCGTCACTCAGCTCCTGTGAGTGATGGCTGGATGCTGGGTGAGAGTCCTTCCTGTTCTCCGCGTCCACGGCGTTCACACAGTAGTATCAGCGCGGCCCAGTCTGCAGGAAACGGCCATTGTTATGCCGGGACCATTGGAGAGCAGAGAAAATGAATGTGAACGTTGAGTCCTGGTGGCAGCTGAGCGTTTGATGGATGTGTCCCACGTCCTGTTTGGACTTTCTCAGGACCACACAGCCGTTCCCATGCAGTGAGGTGGCAGAATGACTAACGTACATATGTGGAGAAGGTAGAAGACGGGGGAGGGAGGGAGGGAAGGAGGGAAGAAAGGAGTGAGGAAGGGAGGGCCTTAACTAGAATGACATCAACCAGGGGTTTGCAAGCTGTGGCTCTGGGGCCAAATGTGACCAAATGTTAGCTGTATTAGTAATTAGCATTTAGCGCAGAGAGGTCAGTCTAACTGTCTGTACTGTTACTGACAGCCCCCCCGCACCCTCCTCTCCCTCCCCCACATGAAGACCCCAAGCCTATCTGTCCTCTCCATCTGTTTCCCAGGTGTTCTCACTCGACTCTTCCCCAGTCTGTGCTTTAATAAAGGGATGGTACTATCCAGTCCTACATATGGACTGAACAGTACTCTTTAATACTGCAGTACAACTGTGTTATTTCAAATGTTTTTGAACTATTTAAACACAAAGACCAACTCGATCATCAGACAGGGACTGAGGAGGACTAACCTGATCACTTCACCTTTCTGTCATTACTTCAAACCCGACCCTTGACCTCTGCCTTCATCCCATCACAATCAGGGCTTCTCTTCCCGTCCAGAAAGATGATCCGTGGCAGTGAGCGGCGACAGCTGCCCTCGGACCCCAGACTCTGTTGTTGCTGAGGTGACCTCTGAAGCTCCTCTGACACTGAATCAGGTCTGCTCGCAGGAAGTCGACATGTTGAGGAGTCGGCCCTCGAGCGTTTCATCAACGCTGACGTAAACAAACCATCGGGAGGAAGACAGTGGAATGGGATGATGGTGGTGGTGGGAGGACAGGGGGGCTCATCATCATTATGATGTGATGCACTCCTCAGAGTTGGCCTTTAACTGACCATCTGGTCTAGTTAGGGTTCCTCACTGGGTCTGATGACTGGGCATGTTTGAAGTACTGAAGTATGTTTGAAGTACTGAGCTCACCTGGAAAACTCTTAATTAATAATCTCTTTATATGGACCAATGCCCTGGGCCTCCATAGTCACATGACTGACATCAGATATTTGAATTATCTGCTACAAACTGTAAATACAGGAAATACAAAAGTAGACCTTAGAGACACTGTAACTCTGTCAGAACTGTTATTCAATGCAGGAACCGGGGCCCTGGTACTGATTAAACTCATGCTTTTCTTAAACTCCTACGTGTTAGGACCGTGGATGGCTCTCACTGAACTGAACCTTTAACTTCCACAAAGTCTGCAGTAAATGACAAGGACAAGACTTTCAGCCCCAGTGGTGACGGACAGAAGAAGACACAGCGTGACCGTCCTCCTGCTGCTCCTGCTCCTGCAGCAGAGTGGCTGTTCTCCACTCCACTGAACGTCCAAACCTCCCCGTGCCTCCTGCAGTCACAGCTTCGAACTCTTTCACAGTCACAAAGTCTTCATCATCCTGCCTCTTTGTCCCAGCTCTGCTTCACTTCTCCAATTCAGAGCCCTTCTCAGGGGGGGTGGGGCCGAGGGTGGGGTGTCCCCCAGCCCATCAACATGACAATGTGTGCATGTGGCCTAGCCATTTGGAAAGAGATCCTGTGTTTGTTTTCTATTAAAGGACAGGGATCCCAGGTAGAGGAGAGAGAAGAGAACTGAAGGGATTATTTACTAACGGCCTACAGCCAGTGGGGGGTGGGGGGAGGGAGGGGACTGGCAATAAGAACAGACGGAAAATGGTATAAACACACACACATATAGATATATTTTCATATATCTATATGTATAGGAATATGTATGTATATATATATATATATATATATATTCATAATTTTAACATGTAAATGAATGTATGCATAACTGCCCTGTGTCCATTTAGTTGCCCTACAGGGCACCTACAGTAGTGCACTAAGTCGCTTCCGTCGCTGTTATAAAGAAAAAGAAAACAACTTTGTCAGTCTGATGAAACCTTTTTAAGATCAATTCTCTCAGTTTCAGGATGGTGGTTTATTTTCAGTGTAGAACTGTAGCAGGTATTTCAGTGAAAGCACAAGGTGAAACTAAGAGACACAACAAAGATTTACTTATATTTGGTATTGCAGTCCTTCAGCCGGAGTTAAGATTAAAGGTTGAACTTTATTGATCCCACGCTGCAGAAATTGTTAGTGTTGCAGCAGCATAGAGGACAACGGTCTATAAAAAGCCAAGATGTGAAGTGCAGAAAAGAATATAATACAGTGTAGAAATCTTTCAAACCCCAGACAGAAATAATGTATATGTCAATAAACATTTTGAGTTGTCTACTTTTAAATGATAACACTGTAGAGAACACACGAGTGGGTGAATAAATAGAGAGATTATATTTGGCCGGAGAACACACGAGTGGGTGAATAAATAGATAAAAATAAATATGAATGAAAAAAAAAATTCGAACATTAATCCCAGTATTTACAAATGTTTTTTGTTTCTACTTTCCACCCATCTTTCATCTTGAACTGCCAGCATGTTCCGGAAGCACACGAAAACAACCGGAAAATACCGAATGTCGCGGTGGCTTCTGGGAGTCTTCAAACTCGACCAGCCGCCATCTTTCTTCAGATAACAAGTTTGTGTGATTTGACACTGTTCAATTTTAATTTATGTCCCTATCCACAAAATAACCAATCTGAGGGACCGTCAGCCGTTGTAACCGTAAAGTCAAACAACTGAAGCTTGGAGGAAATTGATAAGCACGAGTAAAACAACACAGTTTAAGTACAGCCACTTGACTGGCGGTGGTGGTCAACATGGGCCGCTCTCGAAGCCGCAGCTCATCCCGGTCCAAACACTCCAAAAGCAGCAAACACGGTAAGAAACGGAGCCGCTCTCGGTCAAGGTCTAGAGACAGAGAGAGGTCTAAGAAACGCTCCAAGTCGCGGGAATCGAAAAGAAATCGGCGCAGAGAGTCTCGTTCCCGTTCCCGCTCCACAACAACTTCGTCCCGCAGAGAGAGAGCCGCCTCGCCGCCGGAGCGCATTGACATCTTCGGCAGGACATTGAGCAAAAGGAATGCGCTGGACGAGAAGCAGAGAAAAGAAGAAGAGGAAAGGAAGGCAGAGATGGAAAGGCAACGAAAAATGTAAGCATACTTAATAAAATTACATACACATGAACACCAGAAAACGCTGAGCTAAGTATCAGGCCTACCTCGGCCGGTTCTCGGTAGGCGCTAACAAGCTATCTGCTAAGCTAACATCAACCACGAGCCCATAACATTATTGGACAATACATTACAACATCCATTAGTGTGGTTCCACTTGTATCATGCTGATAACTAAACGTCTCAGGTCTTATCAAGGTACTGGTCTAACTTAGATATTTAATGACCATCTTTTAGCGGAACTTAGTACCCCCATATGTATCATCTGTTTTATTACGATTGTTCTTTACAACCAACCCCTGGGCCGCGAACCCGCAACGGTCCGTGGGTCAGTTTGGTGCCTGACCGCATAGAAAGAATGCACAGCTTACATTATTTACGTTTTATTTATTGTCTGATTCTGTACGATGTCTTATTTTTAAAAAATGACCAGATTCTCTTTGCTGCATCTGTCTATGACTTACACTTGATACATGTCAAGATGCTTGACTCAGTTATGTTTCTTATCTACATCCGCTACTTTCTCAAAAGGTCTGCTCTGGCTGTGGCGCAAAAAAAGTTGGGGACCGAGTGTCTACCTACGCATTCGAGACAGTAATGTTCACATGCAGTTATATTTCAATATGTTGAATTTTAACATATATGTATTTATTTATATTTTTACACTGATAGAAATGTCTTCAGAAACAAGGAATCCCATATGTGTTAGTCATTTCATGTACCAAATAAGTGTCATTATAAACATATATAAACATAAGTGTATACATACTGTCCCATTTGAGTGCAGGTTGATGTGACTGGTCATGTTGTTAATTTCTGAAGTTCATACGTTTTATAATATTTTTAGGTTTTATAATGCTGAGTTTACACCTGGCGTCCCTGAAATTCCCTTTCCATTGTGTTCTGTGCTAGAGCCACAGGGTCACTGAGGTCACTGAGGTCACGTATTCAGCCAGATAAGGATCGGTTGAGGTGTCTTGTTGCTCATTGTTGAGCGGATTGTTATTAAATTAGGGTGAGGTGAATTTCCCCACTGTGGCATGAATAAAGACTTTCTTATCTTATCTTTATATGTTTGTGTTTACGTTTGCCACGAGCCATTGAAGATCCAAACCAAAATGCTGAGAGCTTCCTGTCTGTAGTGTTGTTCACAGATGACAAACTGTGGTGGAGCCTTGAAGAACATTTTTATAACTATCTTACTCATACATTTTTGTAAGGTATTTACAGTGCAATGCTGTCGTAAGCATTTCTCATACGTTTTCAGACACTTGACTAATTTTATAAACAACAGCTGTGAAAATTAGCTGCAAGGATTTCTCCAAGAAGTGCCACTGGGGTGAATATGAACAGATCGTTTTTACAGCTCAGGGTTTTGGACTCTTGCCTGAAAATGTACACTGCTGTGAACAGTGGGCTGCTCCAACACTGTGTAGAACGGGGGAGACAGACTCAGTATCAGAAATGTGGTTTCTAGGTCCACGTATAGAGCTGAACCAAGGGGTGTTAGCATGCAAGCACATGGTTGATTTGATAGCTCAGTCAGTCTGTGAAGAAAGCTGTGAGGTTGGCTATTTATAGACAAACAGTCAACAACATCCAAACAACTGACAGTGAGTTTGAAAACCTGAAGTTCGCCATTGTTTTGACAATGTGTGGGGCGCCTCTCTTGGGTCTGGTACTGGTCTGGTACCATCTGTGGTCAGCCCTGCTCTGACCACAGATGAGAAGTGCACCGCAGTCAAAGGTCAGAGGTTCAACGTGTCCTGGTGTCACAGTCCATCAGACCTGATGTTCATACTGTTCCTGTGGCTCTCCTGTCCCCTCCTTCAATTTCTCTTTCTCTTCTGACGCACTGTTCCAGTCGCCAACAAGAGATTGAGGAGAAGCTGATCGAAGAGGAGACGGCACGTCGTGTGGAGGAGCTGGTGGCCAAACGGGTCGAGGAGGAGTTGGAGAAAAGGAAGGATGAGATTGAGAGGGAGGTTCTGCGGCGTGTCGAGGAGGCGAAACGCATCATGGAGAAGCAGCTTCTGGAGGAGCTTGAACGACAGCGACAAGCTGAGTTGGCAGCTCAAAAGGCCAGAGAGGTAACACTCGGTCGTTTGGAATCCCCTTACTATCCTGCCCCTGCAGGCCTTTACCCCCTGGTGCCTACCTCTCCTTCAGAGACATCCCTCCCCCTCCCCCCCGACCCCCATCCCAGTTATATTCACAGTATCCACTAAATAAATCAACAAGTGACAACAACAATTTTAATGTTTCCAGACAGAGCAGTTCCAGTTCTTCACTTTAATTAATAATTAATTATTCATATAATTTAATATTCTTTTGAAAAATTAATCTGAGCTTTGGGCTGTTGGTCTGTCTGCACTCTCTTTATCCTCACCATGTTACACACTGACAGGGTGTTAAAATGATGGTCAGATAGATTTATATTCGTGATGCACCGAATATTTGGCCACCGAAACTTTGAAAGACTTTTATCGCCAAAACAGGAAGTTATGATGACGCAAGCAAAAACCGCGGCTATTTTATTTTATTTTATGCTGTGCATTGTTGGAATGTGCTAAATAAATATTTTCATCAATTTTGTAATTGTTTTATTTTTTGAAAACATTAATATTAATTTATGCAATCCCAGTGCCTTGATTTAATCAAGGTTTAGTACACAGTCATAGCCATAAATGCAGTGGTACTAATAACTGTAATAATAATTGTAACTGTTTTTGGCCAGGAATTTTAATTTCGGTGCATCCCTAATATATATATCTTCATAACTTGCTGTAACAAATGCACTGTCATGTCTGGTTCTGATGAGATGATACTGTTCTCTGTAAATACATCTGTCTTTAATATTGTATTTATTTTGGGAAGCGTCCAGACTAGCACTGGACCTGAGCTGCTGTGCAGCCTTTCAGCTCAGCTCCTGTGACTGCTGTGCTGTACTGTAAGTGTTCCCTCACCTGGTCCCGCTCACACACTCTTTGTACTGTGTATACTCTACTTGACCGTCCTTTGTCTCATTGGGGACATTTTAAAGATAAGTACACTCTACACTCTACACACACACACACACACATACGTAAAGACCAGAACACTGGCTGCAGACCATGCAGTACACAGGTCAGTTTTTAGAAAAGAGAATTCTCAGAGCTTGGACTACACCCCCCTCCCCCCCCACCCACTCCTTCCAACCCCAGGAGAACTTCTCTGTCTCTACAGGGACCATACAGTCTGGACCAGACAGTAGATATTCAGTGACCACTGGTCACAGTACGTAGGTGTTGGTGCAGTGGTGAGCTCATCTACTCCCTCCTTGTTTGTATCTGTGTTTTTATCTTGAACAATATTTGATCCTGACTCTGAGCTGTGTCCTTCGTGTCTGCCTCCTGTTTGACTCTGATGACTGGCCTTTTTTATTGTTTTTATCTGTAGGGAGTTGAATGTCTCTGTGACGCTGGAGCCTTAGCTGTGGATTAGCTAATCTTAGCAGTCAAGTCAGGTTTATTTTCTTCAGCTGTCCCCAGTCTGACAGTCTGCTCATGTACGAGAGGAAACTGCATTCACTGTGTATGTCTCAGTTTAACCTATGTGGGCGTGCGAGAGAGATAGTGTGTGTGGGTGTGTGTGAGGAGTCGTGGGCTGCAGCCTCTTCACGCACTAACACAGAACGGTGTCGTCTGTCTAGGAAGAAGAAAAATCTAAACGGGAGGAGCTGGAGAAAATCCTGGAGGAGAATAACCGCAAGATCGCCGAGGCTCAGGCCAAGCTGGTGAGTTCTGCCTCCCGTCACTGATTGTCCAGGACTGTGTTCTGTCTGCAGACGGACGGTACAGAGGTTGACCTGTTTTCGTTGCTCTGTTCCAGGCTGAGGATCAGCTGCGTATCGTGGAGGAGCAGCGGAAGATCCACGAGGAGCGCATGAAGCTGGAGCAGGACCGTCAGAAACAGCAAAAGGAGGAACAGAAAATAATCCTTGGTAAGGGCAAGTCCAGGCCCAAGCTCTCCTTCTCCCTGAAGGCAACCGAATGAAAACTGCTGCTCCCTCTGTCCACCACCGGTCCTGCCCCCCGCCCCGACCTCCACCTGCATTCATCCACCTCCGTCTCTCCTGTCCCATGACTCGGCCTCCACCTCCCTCCTCCATCTTGGTGGAACAACCGCTTCGTTTTGGAAGTGATGAAGGGGGCTGATGGAGGGCTGGGGGGGGAGTGGGAGTGACAGTGGGGTGGGGGTGTGTGTGTGTGTGTGAAGGAGATGAAAACCAACAATCATACTCTCAAAAAGAGGCAGAAGGACCTGACCACCCGCTCCTCCACCCGCCTGGACCCCGACCACACAGACTGATGACTCTGTGGCTTTTATTTCCTCGTAGGGAACTGAGACTGTTGTTGTAGAATGATGTCTGTTGTTAAGTCTTAACTCTGTTCCGTGAGAACGTCTGTGCTGCTGGAGCCTGTCTGTAGAACCAGCCAAACAGATCCACACGGGACCGCGAGTCCAGTCACGTGCAGCCTGGAGTCGGCCTCTGGAGTTCCACTTTTTAAGTCCCTTTACTTTTGTGTTTTTTGTTTTGTTTTCTTTGTCATGGTGATGCACCTCCTGACAGGGAGTGTCCTCCTCAGCATCCTGCTCTCCGTGACATCATCACTCGCTGTATTTAAATCACTTTTTTTCTTTTAAAAAAAAAATCCTCCATGAAGTCCAGATCTGGTCTGCACATGATAGAAACACACACACTGTGAAAGGGGTGTGTGTGTGTGTGTTGTAATGTTAGGAGCTTTTTTGGTGTGGTGGCCCCCTTGCCCCCCCCCCCCCCCTCCCCCTCAGTTCAGAGTGTGTTATCAAATCTATCCATCAGTTGAAAAAAAAAAAGTAAGGAAAATGTTTTGAGTTTTTATCAGACTGAGCAGCAGAGAGTCAAACAGTGGACGGACGAGTTCAGGTATTTAAAGGTCTGCGGTTAGTGTGAGAGTGTGTGTGTGAGAGAGTGTGTGTGAGTGAGAGAGTGAGACGGTCAGAGAGACTGACCTCAGGTGGGTATATTTAATATTTCTTTTTCTGTGGGAACGTGTTTGTCTCCTTTCAATGTGGCCCAGTTGTTGAAGGGACTGAACTCCAGACTAAACCGCTCCACTGCTCCACTGCTCCGGCTCTCTGACTGTATTCAATACCAGAGTCCAAACAGATCCAACTGTGGAAACTTTTGTCCCAAAATCTTCAGCTTAAAGAAATAAACTTTAAAACTTGACTCAGACTTTCTCTGCAGCAGCGTGTTTGTACATCCTGTGATGACGTCACACCGAACAGATTCCTATCGCGGTAGTTAAGTTCCAAGACTGACCGCGAAAAGGGGAAAAATCCCCACTTACGTATATATTTACCCTTTACGACACTGTTGTGAACCCTCCATAGACTGTCGTACCCTTCCTCACACAAGTATAGGCCCAGTAGTGTTGTATGGTAGGATGAAAAAATAAAAAAAACATATTCCGAAAAAAAATAAAATCCACGACGCGGCGGAATTGGGAGAAATCCAGCCTCTCCTCCTCTGAGCGAACATTATTGTAAATAAAATAAAATAAAATAAAATACTGTTAACTGTCATCTGTGTCAGCGTCTTCGTTCGGGCTTCGTAACAGAAGATGATCGGAGCGTTTATGAGACATCGTAGGCCGTTAACGAGCGACGGACAGACAAGGGACGATGCTGAGAGACGCTACGATACATGAGCCAATCGGTGTCAGGAACCGATCTCCTCTGGGTAAACAAAGATGCCAGCGATGTATACCAAAATATTGGAAATTAACTTTTTTAACTTTTTTTTTTGTACCGTAAATACCGCGATATAGCGAAACTTCCACATAACGGATTGGGGGAAAAAACCCACGATGTACTGACCCGTAAATACCGCGATATAGCGAAACTTACACATAACGGATTGGGGGGAAAACCCACGATAAGGAGAACCGCGATATAGAGAGGAAACACTGTATAATGTTCAGAGCTCACCCTAAAATTCACGACGGGAAACTCCCGAGGGATTAATAAATCTAAATCTCACCGAAGAAATAACAAACTGACGTGAAGACACAGACACACTCCGTCAGTCAGTCAGTCAGTTAACAGTGTTACGTTAATCTAATGTGCACAAACTGTGTCAATATACACTGAGTTCGGAGAGAGGAAGTAAATTAACGTCTGCAGCGCCACAGTCTGATTAAATTAGGTCTTCACCGAGTGACAAAACTTCACACCACTGCAGAGGTGTGTGTGTGTGTGTGTGTGTCCTCGGTCTTTGAAGAAACGTCACAGATTTGAGTCGACAAACTGTCAAAGGATTAAAGAACACCAAAGACATTCTAGTTTTTAAAAACATTCTATTCGTTTATAAAGAAAAAACAAAATCACACACAGTGATCGATCAAACAGAGCAGGACTGGGGTTAGGAAATCCTGCCACTGGTGGGCGCTGCAGACTCGTGGAAAAACATCGAGCATGTGAGACAAGTGAACGGTAGGCGTGTGTGTGTGTGTGTGTGTGTGAGGATGTGGCCTGTTGTCTTTAAAACAAATCTAATGTTGTTTAAATTAGGACTCGATCACAACAGCGGACGATTCATCGACACTGACAGACATTATTATTATGACGTCATGATTCTGTACAATCACAGACCAAGCCGAGTTCAGACGCTAAGACGTTAATGAAGTAATAACCGAAGCAGGATTTCTGTGTGTGCTCTCCTCCCTCCCTCCCTCCCTCCCTCTGATTGACACCACGGCTCCCGGCAGTGACGTGGTGTGCGCAGGGACCAATCGGCGCTCTCCCGGGGGGCGGAGCTTCGACCTGTGCAAACTCCAGCTCATATTCTCAGTCAGTCTGTGTCTCTCCCTGCAGTTGTTTACGTCCAGGTTCTGGGGAACGTCGATGGCGAGTTGAGCTGGGAGCAGAACCTCCTCAGTGTGCGCGTGCACGTCTGCCAGATACGCGCGTGTGTGTGTGAGAGAGAGTGTGTGCCAGCCTGTGTGTGTGTGTGTGTGGGAGAAAGAGAGAAAGATAGAGAGAGAGTGTGTGTGTGAGCCTGGATCTGCAGCGGGGTTGACTTTTCCCTTCTTCACTCCCACAGCATGAGAATTTCCATGTCAGCTCTTCTCATCTCTCTCATCTTCATCTTCGGCCATTTGTTTTTTTCTCACCATCCGAACTCATTGTGTCGTTTGGCTGCCGCTGCTGCCAGCCTGAGTCAGCTGCTCCCTGCCGTCTCCACCTTCACTTTCACCGCCTCCAGCGGTACCAGCAGAACCGGCGGCACCGCCGTCACCTCCGGCCGGGGGTCCAGTTGAAAAGCGGGACCAACCTCTCCTTCTCCTCTGCTCCTGGGTATCCCCGCCCGCGCCGGGAGTACCCCCCCGCGGC